AATTGGAGGGATGTGGATTTGATGGGTGGACCACCCATTGGGTAAGGAATTGGACTGTGACTTCTCTAAGGGTTTCCAGATTCTGCGTGTATATTTGCTTTGTTGTTTTCTTTTTTGTTAATTTATTCTTCAGTGTGGAACCATCAGTGCTTAAAAATTATTTCAGATCAGTAAAAGCTGAAGGATTGCAGGGACAATTAATGTTATTCTATTGCATTTTATTGTAATTTATGAAAATCTTTACTATTTCTTCCAGTAATACATGCCATTTTTGGAACATTGTAACTGTTGGAAGACAAACTGCAGAAACGAATGCTCATGAATATCCCTTTCAAATGATGTATTACAGACTAATTCCATAAGAGGACTATTGGAAGACACGTTATAATCAACAATGCTTTCTTAGTACAGTAACATATTTTGATTTTTTCCTAATTATCTTCTGTAGCCAGAAACTCATTTGAAAATCAATCTTTATTTACTAAACTTGAAAGGAGGAGGAAAATAGTGTCTGAGTGTCTTACAAATTGCCCATGGCTGCAGCTCATAGGCTCAGAAAGTAGTTACAAAGTCTAAAATTAAAGCATTTCAGTTATAGAAGGGAAATGTCCTTTCTGTAGTGCTCTTTCTTGTGAAATGATTTTCTCCACCAAAGGGTTTTCATAATTGTTCTGTTAGGTCAAGAGCTAAAGGTAGATTGGCTTTCTAGTCTCGCTAAAACAGGTGACTGTCTTTTTACATGCTACTTTAAAAAAATCTAGAGGAATCCCAGAATGTTCTTCCCCTTGTTAAGGTAGAATCTAACAGTGTATCTGGACCTTAGTTTGGGTCTTACATGTTTAAAATAGCAATGATTTAAAGTAATGGGCGAAAGGTCAGTTGCTTAATTTACTCATTAAAATGGCATTTTTAAGGCTGATGTTTGAAATTGCTTGCCCAACAGTTACAAGTCTTTTGTAGCAGTAAAACATTTGTACGCTGAACTTTAACCAAGACTGCTAAAGGAGTGTTTTTTAAATTGAATAACCTTTATGTTTTCTTTCATCAAATCCTAAGTCAGGAGGATGAAGTTACATTCTGTAACTTTGATGTTTCCTGAGTATTTGCTTTCCTATGTAGAGATAAGTGAACTGTTCAGGATGTTATCAAGCCTTTTCATCTGTTACCAGTTTGTACCTCTATTCTTTTCTGTATATCTCCTTGAATTTTATGAGGATTCCTTATCTCTGGTCTTTAAGCACTGGCATCAGTGGTTTAGGTCCTACTTCATTATGGCCATAGAACTGTTAACAGCATGTCCTAAGTGTATTCTAATAATATTGTGAGAATATCTGTATTGAACACCAAGAATGCTATTGACTGTTATTGGGCCTACCACAGAGATTCAGTGCTTACTGTGGTGTAGCTGAACTTTGATGTATTTTAATTGTCTCATCTGACCATGCTTCTTTGTGGTGTTTCAGCCCATTAGTCTGCTTCATGCATGGGAATGTGCAGAGATGACTCAAAAGAAAAATGAGGCCTCTTTTTAAGAGCCAGAGTTCTTGAAGATGGGAACATATTCACATTTTTCCATCCACTTTCCTCTCTTTGTCAGGACATCAGCATTTCACTGAATCAAGACACTTTTGGGAGAAAAGCTCGGAGCTTCACTTTTTTTTTTAATTGCTTTCTTCCAAAATATGTGGGAATAGTAACCTGAAAGATGAATGTGAATATTTCAGTGAACTTTCTTATATGTATGAAAAAAAGAGTAGTGAATTTTTATGTCTCTCTCTCATATAAAGACAAGGAAAGAAATGTATAATTAAATGTAATTTTCTGTTATCAAGTAAAAAAATGAGGATTAGTATACGATTGTTCAAGAGAGTATTACTGAAATTTCTAAGCCTCCAAAGTATTTTTATATTTCAGGTTTTAGTATATTAGCTTGTTCAACGTCATTGCTTCATCTGACTTAATAAAATGAAGGGAAAATGCTTATTGTTTCTGTTTTTCCTGGAAAAAAAAAAAATCTTTAATCTTTATTTAATGCAATCTTTGATGGAAAAAAAAAGTTCAAATTAATATATTATTGTAAAAGGTACAAAGTAACAGTTTTTTTATTTGAAGGTTGCAACTAATTTGCATTTTTGCATTGCACATCACCAGGAAGACATAGCTTTAATCACTCTTTCCTTTCAGAAAATGTCCTGTAGATATTATGTCACTGGGAAACCCGATCCTCATATTTTGGCCAGTACTATCAGAGAAAATGAGTCAGATTGCTGAGTTACACCAATACACAGACTGAAATGCTGCAGATACTTCACAGACAGTAGTCTGGACCTCCTAGTATATGTGCAGCATATGTCAAACAGCCTGTGTCTGCTAGGATAGCTACTGTATCTTCAAATAACGTGTCAAGCTAACAGACTTTCTCTTCCTTTGGCGTACACACTGGAGGTTTAGCCAATATACTGATTTCAGCTACAGAATATGGATTTCTGAGTTCTGAGCTGTATCAACAGATTTTCATAGTCCAGATGGGACTGTAGACAAGTCCTTGCAACTTTTTCAGCCTGTGAGTTTATCTGGTAGGCTGAGCTGATATATTCAGTGCAGAAGCCAACGTGCCTTGCTCTGCACAACATTTTCATTTGCTTAGATACACTATTTTAACACCAATGAAAATTCTTAAATGGCATCTTGTGAAGTAAAGACGGCCTTTATTTGATTATTGTTGTTTATATGTTTTGAGGAACAGCAGTTTTCAGTGACGATGTATTTTATTTCACCATATATGTGAAAAGTGCATTTAGCATATTTATTACCCAGCCCAATTGTAGCTTTACAGTGTCTTAACAGGCTGTTTATAAATTGTGAAATTCCTGTAGAATCAGCTCTGTCTCACAGACAGCACTGCATCTGTCCTATAGGCATTCTCATGCAAAAAACAGTGTGGTAGCAGAGTGGATGGACTGGGATCAAGACACGTAAAAAATCATCAATTTGGTTTTCCTGAAAAAACTGATGTCTTCCCTCAAACACAAGTGCAGACAACTTATGTTAGTCTTCTTAAGCTTCAACAGTAGCTTTACCTGTATGATTGAGAGCAGATTTCAGGCCCTGCTCTCCCAGTTCGCTATTCACTGGAGTCTTGCACAGTCTCTTTGTTACAAGCAACTGTTGGAGGCCAAGTTGTGGTTCGTACCTTCTTATTCTCTTTTGGAACTGATTGATGAACTAGTATTTTCCAAGTACACTTTTATCTGTTGAGCTGCATTAATATTGTATTATCTAGCAAATGGATTTGAGATTGCTGGGAACTTGCTCCATGGATGAAATTTGTTATGCCATCAGGCAGAGAATTGTGCAAACAGCTCACTCAAAGATTTGCCAGGTGCGTACTTATTAAAAATCATTTTGTGATATTCTTAGATGATGCTGGAGTTAATGTATACAATCGTAATGTAACTAACAAATAACCTCCAGCACCTGGCCTTGTGTAAGGAGCATTCCTGAAACACAATTTTCCCCTCTGGTTATAGCCAGAAATAAACCATTTTGAGCACTCACAGAGCAGTCTGCAGTCACCAATTCATGATGAGTGGGGGATGAGCAATCTGCTCCAAAGGCACATCTGTGCAAGTTAAACCAGTGGTGTAGACGTACTCATAATGAGCTTGATATTCTGGAATTTTGCTGGTTATTGTAATATTATTTTTTCCTGCTAAGATTTTTGTGGTATCATGAAAGATGAAAGTTCCATGTTACAAAACAGATATTTGAGACATCATCTGAAACCGTAATCTCAGTTCTGTTGTTCACTTCTTTTCAGTGCTCATTCTCTATGAATTCATGCAGGTACATCTCATTAATATTGAAATACATAATAACAATAATACAGAAGCTTCAAATATTGTTGCAAGAGATCAGCCAAGCTTCAATTCATTTTATTTGGTATTGATAAACAATATTTGAACGAACAAATAGGAGATGGTAGTGAACTCGGCAACAATTATTTTTGCTGATTATCCACAGTGCTTTGCAAGTGAATATTCAGGCTGTGCTCTAGGTGTATTTTCTGTGCTGAGTTAAAAACTGGAGCAATATGGTTCCTTGCCAAGACTTGAAATGAAACAGATTTCTACAGGTTTATTGCAGAACACGTAGTAGCATATTTCTACAAATGAAATGATGTGTTGTGTCAGACAGTGACAAAACTGGCATACCACCTTGTCTGCTCTCACATTAACGTTAACTGAGATTTTGGACAGAAAAGTTGAACAGCTACATGAGATGATGTAATCAAGCTGTAAAATGGGAGAAAAGCGGAGAGAGTAAAACGGAAACAAACCACTCAATTTACGTATCTCAGATAACAATGGGATCTTTGTTTATCTCTTTTGCTTATGTTAAATCATAGTACTTAAACAATTTGAATCTTGGAACTTTAGACATAATTTGCCTCTTGTTATGTTTGTCAGTATTTTTGTTGTTGTTGTTGTTATCTATATTTGGAGCTTCATACATTACTTATTTAGTCAGGACCTAACAAAAATGAAGGTTTTCTTGGAGTTGTCATGTCTTAGCACCTGGATGGTACCTTTCTGGATTAAAAAAAGAAAAACTGCTAGAGAATATGCTGTTGTTAATTCAGTGGATGTAGTTGGTAGTAAGTGCCTCTCTACTTTTACAAACCGACACTGTTACTGTGCTTCTGTTTTGAATTTGCTTCATGTCTGTCTTTCTCAGTATAAATTGGTCAGCTTTGTAATAGCTTTGTTGTAATGTTTAGGATAAAGGGACCTATCACTGCAATCTTTTCCATGCCTTTCCTTTTTTTTTCCCCATCTCTGATGACCCTTTTTTGTCCTCAGCTGCTACTATCCGTAAGTTTTCCAGAATCTAGTCCTGAGCAGAAACAAATTTACTGTTGGTTTACAGCCATGGAGGATTTTTCAGTCTCATTGCTTATACTACAGTTAATCTACACTGCTCGTGTTTTTATTTTTCAGGAAACCGAAGCAGCAGTGCAGGCTAAACAGCCGAATGTGGAAGAGGTTTTGTCTAAAGGGTGTCATTTGTATAAGGAAAAACCAGCCACTCATCCAGTAAAGGTAATGAAGCAACCTTTAGCAATATCCATTACTGCGTAATGGGTTATGCTTCCCCTGTTGTACACTTGTCCTTGATGTGCTCTGTTTAAAATCAATGAAAGAACTTGGGAAAGAGCATTTGTTCTGTTGTCACCGCATAGCCAGGAACAAAGCAGTGTACCGAGCTGGAAAATTTTTGCATGTTGTGATGGGATTTTTTTTATTTGACATAAACATTATTTTACTTATTCAAGAGTAATTCATACTTAAACCAAACTTAAATTTGTTGGGCTTACTTAGTGGTATCTGATGAAGTCTTTTTTATCTTATGTTAAATCGCGCTTTCAGAAAATCTGTAAATTAAAAAAAAAACAGAAAAAAAAAACCAAAAACTTTTTTTTCTTCTAGACAAGGTAAGAGTCAAAGAAGACCCTTTGCTTTAATTTTTTTGTACTGTGAAGGAGAGATGATAATATAAAACTTTACCACTGTGTATATCTGCCAGAATTCCTGTAGCGTGGCTTCCCTCATTCTGTCTTGGAGTCAAGAATTCATTGGATTGATCCCTCCCAACCATTCTCCCTTAGAAAAATATACTATAGAATCATTTTCCCCCAGAAATCATTTGGATAGTTTAGGCTTAGTTTCGTAAAGACCATACAGATTTGCATTGAACCCTTGAGTATCTAGAGTACCTGCAGAACCATGAAGCTGTAAATAATAAGCAAGCAGCCTTTCATGTGTGGTCCAGTTGCTGTTGGAGATCAAACTACTAGTAAGATCACTACTTTATTAACCAGAGCTTCATTTCTTATCTCATAACTGCTAATAAAGGATCTGATGGTGAAGAGTTCACTCAAACAGTAATAGTGGCTTATCAATTATAGTATCTGTTGCAATTATGAAGATAGTAAACTTCGTATTTAGAACTTTTCCTAACCTATAGTAGTCAATAATCTCATTTTATAGAAAAAGATTTCCTCACAAAGTTAGGATGTCTGTAGGTGACCTGAACAGTAAATTTCATGTGTTTTTTTTCCATGTGTATTCGTTCCACTTGTAGTACAGTGGAGTATTTTCCTGCTTCTACAAAACCTCCTCTAAGTCTTATAATTCCCACCATCTGAATGGAGATTGATAGCGACATGTGGATGCACTGATCTGCACTGTAGAAGCTGATATTTAAGCATGTTTTAGTTTTTTTTACTTTCCTGAACAGAAGTCTTTAGGAGCTTTTTTCCCCACCTTTTTGGTATCTATGCTTGTGGTTTTTTTTTTTTTTTTTTTTTTTTGTTTTGTTTTTTTTTTTTTTGTTTTTTTTTTTTTTATAATGGTCAGTTCTGCTAAACAGTGGAAAAATACCAAGGAGATGAACTGAAGGTGACTAAAAACTAGTGTGCTAATGAGAGTGAGCAGAAGCAAGGCTTATGACTCAGCATTGGGTGAAAATAGCACTATTATTATTGGGAATAGAAACACATCATTTCAACACTGAATGAATGATGGAAGAAAAATCCCACTACAGTAGCTGTATTTTCTCACTGGGTAGCAGCCATTTTAGCATCTCTTACTCTACATTTCTAAGCAAAGAACGTAAAACAACAACAGAAAAAAAGTGAGATTTTGGCTTTCTAGTTTTTTGTAACTACATTTAAAGATCAGCAAAATGAGTGGTGACACTTGCAGGGAGAATTGGTAGCACTTGCTTTGATATTCCACTGATGAAGGCATAAATAGTGTGACATGATTCTGTTTAGGCCAAACTTCTAACATAAAAAGTATACTCCACGTCTATTTCTTTTAAGTGTTTGCATAAAGACTGAAAACTGCTTGTTTCTACCAGATCTGCTGGAACACAATCAACTGGAACAAGATAACTCTTTAAATAAACATTGATGTTCCTTGATTTGCAGTTTTGACAATGGTATTATAGAATGTGTCTGTAAAGAAATTAATAACTATTTGGTTAAATAGTGGATATTTCATTTCTTGTCCCTCTTTAATTAAATGTTACTTTTTTCGTTGCCTTCTGGAGTTCAGTTAATCGAACCTGTGAAGTTAATTTCTGATTCACTACCTTGTACAGTAATAAAATAGTGTACATGTACTGTCAGGGCTGCTGAATAGCTTTCTTAGTGACGTAAATTTCCTTAAGCTTCTCCCCATTTATGTCTTCTGCCTTTATTATTAAGTGAGTAATATTCAGCATTATTTGTTATTCGTATATTCCAATACGACTTTTCAGACCAAGTCAAAATGACTTTCTACTTAAAAGATATTTTGTGGCAGCAGAAATAATATATATTCAAATTATGGTGTTTTTTAAAGGAAATTAATGAGGTTGCAAAGGTAAGCACTCAAATCTCAGAAAATGGTGAACTGAAGATGATGTGGTGGCCTTGTTTTAGGTTGCCTAATGCAGCAGAGGGTATGGGGAGCACTCACACTGAGAGCAGCAACTCAGTACTTAAACTCATAGTTCTTGTTTAGTTTGTTGCTGTAAGCCACACTTTTCTTGTGAAGTATTCTGTTTCTGCTGTGAAGAAAAATGGCTAATTCCCTCGTAGGCTGTTTCAAGCCAGTCATCACAGTGGTGTCTAAGTGCTTCATAAGCATTGCTTTATTTTAGTTTTGTGTATGATTGCTTTGTATTTTCCAGAGAAATGAAAGGAAGAAAAAACAGAAGTCGGGTCAAAGTAAACGTATCACTAGATGCAAATATCAGGGAAAAAGAAAAAAGAAAAAAGCACAGTGTTTGGTTACATGAAATATTCTTTTCCTAGCTTCCTTTTTTTTTTTTTTTTCTTAGTTTACTGCTAATCTTTCCATTCTTCTCAATAAACTACATCGAAGTCCTATGGACTGTATTCATACTACAGGCCTGCCCTGTCTTGGAAAGTGTCAATAAGTTCAAAGTATTAATGCAGTCATGTGCATTGGATCTGAATTTATGTTCGTGATTGACTTTATTCTGAGATTTTGTCATCCTTTGCTGTTCATGTTTGCAAACTTTATAATACATTCAAAACACTCCAGTGAGAGTATAAATTGAACCCTGTGGCTTTCTATTAAAACATAATTGAAGTGAGCGTTGAAACTGAAATCCACTCTACTTCTTAAACACCAGCAGTTATTTTTTATAATGTTAGTCACAGCCATGGACTTTTTAATTTTCATACCATTTTTTTGTTTTTTAATTCTTATAAAAGTATCAACTTTACATCATTAAAGAATACTTCTAAAGTCTTTGAAGTAAGCACTAGGCAGAAATATAAGTAATAATCTGATTGAGTACTCGTGTTTAACGTGTGCTTCATTTGAAACTTGCCCAGATGAAATATTTTTTATAGAGTAGATGATTATGAATTCTATTTGTTAGAATTTTTCTGTGCCCTTCAGTAGGAAGTCCCAAGAGTGAAACCAATATTTGTTATGTAGAGTTAAAGTCAATCTATCTCCAACAGCTTTATTTTGAATTTGTAACTTGTACTAGTTAACTAAGTATTTGATTAAGCTGTCATGTAGAATGTCCAAAATGTGTAGGCACAGAATTTGGGCTGAGCCCTTCTTGATTATCAGTAAACCATCCACCTTGATGTTATAATTGACTGACATATGGATATGTTCACACATTTGCAAAGCATGCTAACAGTGATTATACTGGAACTTAGCAATCTAAAACTGTAAAAAAAAAAATCTTGTTGGCACATGAGGTCCAAAGATATGCTGATTCAAGGATCAAAAAACGGGGTAAGATGTGATCTTTTAAGCCCTGGCACTTCAGTAATCAGACACATTCATATTAGCACATTCATAAATGAATTTCATGCTTTTGAAATGCATTTCTGTAAAGTAATCTTTACATGGATGGGAAGGGAGAGGTTACTGAGTTTACTCCTGGTGCCAGTGGCAATAGAAGGAACATAATCCAAGTCTCCTGAATAACAGCACTCTGGATGGTTTAATCAGGAAGGGAATATCTGTGGCAAGGGAAAAGCTGCAATTTCCGTCCATGACACTCCATTTTTCCTTTTCCATCTTTCTGATTAGGAGATAAGTAGTGATGGTGAAAAAGAGGATATAAGGAGTACCTTTACAACTATGTTTCATTCACCTCAGTCTTCCGTTTAAAATGCCACATCACTTTTCTGTCTGAATACTCCTATGTAGTTTTAGTGCTGTTAGTGAGATTAGTTCAGGTATGAATATTATCCTCTCTTTAATAGCACTGGGACTGACATTTAAAGGAAATCAATAAATCAATAGAAACTGTTCCTCAGTGCAACATATTTTAATTTTAATACTTGTCACTAAAACTCTAGAGCTACAATTACAGCAAAATTATTGTGCTTGACGAAGTGAACGTTTTTAATGCGTGCATGCTAATTTATGGCAGATGCAAGATTGGATCGAACTGTAAATTTGACAGGAGAGTTTGGAACTAGCTACTCTCTTATTAGTGGTGTAGATGTTGCTTCTATTTTGCCATCAGTGAAAACAAATCCCTGGCTCACATCTGTACGAGTGAAACAGCTACTCACACTGAGAACCAATATTACATTTATGATATTCGTATTTTTTTCCTGAGTTAGTGTGAATAAACAGTAAAATGAAGCTGGACTTTGACAGTATAATCTCTCAAGCTTTGAAGGGCTCTCTACACCTGCTGCTGCTACTGAGTAGATCCTGGTGCAGCCATTTACATTTTAGATCTGGAATGAGGTTCTTAGGTGTGAGCAGTAGGAAAAAAATGTTAAGAAATGTGGGAAATATGGTTTTGTGTGCCAGTAATCCACAAATAAATAAAGTATGCACGAATTGTCAAATGTTATATTTATTGTTCATACCCTAATTTCTTTTTCAGTGTGATCGTCATATTCTGTTGTTGAGGATAACTTCTGATATTCCTGACTCTTTATTTTAAACTTAATGCAGTTTTTAAGCTACTCTTAGAAGTAAAATGATTTTGTGGTACAGAGTTATATCCGTTCTCTTCTGTCCTATTAAAAAGCATTTGCACAAAAAAATCTCCAGGACTTACACCAACTAGTATTTTTGTTTCTATTGATGATAGATATAAAAGAACTTTGAAGATTTAAGAGTACCTTTGGCGAAACTTAAGGCAAATTCTAGAAACAGTGCCCAAGGCATCAAAATGTATGCATATGTGTGTGTACACTCTTCAATTTAATGTTTCTTCTTCTTTACCCCTCTCCTACTTGTCCCCATCTTGTTAGGTTCAAGGTACTTAAACATCATTCTTAATAGACATCCTGTTTCTATTAGGACTAGATAGTAATTTAGACTGTCTGATCATGGCTAGGGCGTAGGAGTGCTAAAAACACCACTGAGTGGCATTGGTATACTGGGCTGCTATCACAGTGTTGCAGGAGTTGGAAGGGACCTCAGGAGATCATCGAGTCCAACTCCCCTGCTAAAGCAGGTACCCTACAGTAGGTCACACAGGCAGGCATCTAGATGGGTCTTTAGTATCCCCATAAGAGGAGATTCCGCAACCTCTCTGGGCTACCTGTTCCAGTGCTCCATCACTCTTACTGTAAAGAAGTTCTTCTGCGTGTTAGTATGGAACTTCCCATGTTCAAGTTTTAGGACATTAATCCTTGTGCTATTGCTACACACCACCTTGAAGAGCCTGGCCTCATCTGTTTACCTCCCACCTTCGTTTAGGTATTTATATATGTTAGTCAGATCCTCTCTCAGTCGTTTTTTCCTCAGGCTGAGCAGACCCAGGTTACTCAGACTTTCCTCGTATGGGTGATGCTCCAAACCCTTTTATCATTGTGGCCCTCCACTGGACTCTATCTAGGGCTCCCTGTCTTTTTTGAAATGGGGAGCCCAGAATGAGACACATGGTAGTCTAAATGTGGCCTCACCAGGATAGTCAAGGGCTGGCTATGCTTTTTTTTTTTTTCTTTCTTTTTTTTTTTTTTTTGCTTTGTATAACAAATGGTCAGGAAGCAGCTTGAAAAGGAAAAGCAGTCTTCATTTTAAGAGTTTAGAAATGCCAGCATATAATTAGCATGCTTCATCCTACTTTACAGTCCCTAGAGTGTGGAATAAAGATGGGGTAGAAACATTGTTTTCAAGTCTAAATGCCTCTCACGGTTATCTTAAGACTGATATAATTCACATTCCAGACTTTCACATTCGTTTTGTTTAAAAGTAGCAGCTTAGCCATTGCTCAGGACTGTTTACGATTCCTTGAGGTCTCCTAAGGTTTTTTTTTTTTGTTTTTTTTTTTTTTTTTAATAGATAGAAGAACGTGTTCTGAATTGCAGAGATTTTATTGACATGGTTTTTAATACAAAATTCCCCTTCCTGTTTTAATATAATAAAATGAGCATCTCAGATTTATGATGATTAGAAACAGAACAAAACAGAAAACTTTTGTTTGGAAATCATCCTATGTCCCCTAAGTCCATCAGGGAACAGTGCAGGCTGGGAGGGTAAGAAGGAGGCCTGATGAGAAGAACCAAACAGAGCCCTGAGTGGGGCTGGGTACGGGGCCTCAGTGGGGCTGAGGTTGGTTAGGGAGCAGTATGGCCAGGGTCCAGAGGCATAGCCTGTAGGTTGTCCCAGAGCTCCAGCAGGCAAATTTCTGGGAGACAAGATGCTCTCAAAACTGTTACACCATGAAGCTTTTTTTTTTTTTTTTTTTTTTTCTTCCCCCAACTCCAAATGGGTCATACTCTGTTCTTCCCTCTCTCTCCCATTTGTGAAAATTAATTGCTGTTTCTATGTGGGATGTTGTAAATTCAGGGGTCCATCAAATGAGGAAAAAGAAAAGGGGGGGGAGAGAGAAGTTACACTTATTAATGCATTATAAATTTAATGTATTTTTAACTTCTACTCTAGAAAAAATTAGAAGACTTGAACACGGACTGGAAGGCAATAAATCACTTAATTCTACAACTGAAGGAAAAGCCAACATTCGGAGAGCCTGTCCTTTCCTCTCCAGGTGTCTGTAAGTGTTTCATTGTGTACATCTAAAATCAGTTAAGTCACATAGTGAAAGGGAAAATGGCTTGAGACAGTCTAAATTTGTTTTGCATCTGTTCAAATTTTACCGTTAGCTTGTAAATGGGAGATGTGCTGGTATGGAATTCAACTTGCTTTTTTTCATTTTTGTGTAATGTGTCTCAGGAGACAAATTTCTTTATGTATTTGATGGAATGATTGCAATGTGGTTTGAAATTATTACCTGCTTCAAGGTCTTGTTTCTTTATTCTATGTAGAGAAAACATTATGACTTTCTATATTCATTTATTAAGCAAATATGATGAAAGAAAAAAATTGTTTAAACTAAATGTAATAATATAGATCAAGTAGATATAAATTTGTTACAAAATATAAATTTGTTACAAAATAATTTTTATATATGATAGACCAATGATCTGGTCATGTTTCAAGACAAAGCATCCATATTCAAAGAAAGGATTGTATGGAGTTATATGTTAAGTCTGTGGGTGACGCTGATGGGTGTCCTGAGTAATTCATGACTATGCAACAAGAGACTTGGTTTCCATTTAATTTAAATTATTTGAACAATATTTTGTTTTGAATTTTACATTTTCCTTATATCTCTTTGCACCTGCAGTCTTACTACAAGGACTACAAATTCATTTTCCTATTGCTTTACTTTGAAATGTATTGACTAAGCTTGGGTGGAAAAGATACATAATTGAATACTGGGCTAAAGGCTGAGTTTCTAAAGTCAAGGTTCTTTACTTGATAGTAAAGTGTCATCTCAGTTGCTTGGAATGAGGAGTGTTTTTCACCCATATAAGGTGCAAAGCTGTTTGGTGATCTGCTCAGGTCTGGGAGAAGTACCTTCTACTGTTAGGTTTCCTACAACATAGGCTGTGATACAGTCATAGAATCTCCTGGAATTTGATTGCTTGTAGGATGTTTATCTCTCTTGCTTTTAGCATGTCTTAATGGGTAACATATGAGAAAAACTGATGCTGGGGAATTCTGTGTCTTCTGCTAGTGACTTACTATTATAGCAAAGAAGAAAAATCTTTTCCTGGGAATCAAATAATTGCACCACTAAGGCAGGATCCAGAATATTCAGTACCGGAGGACAAATCCAGCCTTTGTCACAGTTATGTTAATTCAAGCAAAGCAGATGTCTTGCTTAATGACGTGTTGAATCTTACTACATAGGAACTATAACTTACTTTTTTGCAATTTAGAACTGCCACAGTTCTGGTGTTGATCTTTTTGATTTTATAAAAAGGGGTAAATACCACCAGTCTATTTTTTTTTTTTTTTTTTAACTTGTGGCACAACAATATCCTTACTTTACAGGTCTTCGTTCTAAGGCACACTGTAGAAATTCATTTAATGACATGGGGGAACTGAAGGAGATGTGTAATCATTTTTTGATGTGCTGGGTCACTAAACTTGCTGTGTCAGTTTTGCATGTCAGCAGGTTGTGTCAACTTCCAGTGGGAGGGAGCTTTTGTGATCTGTGAATTTGCTGTTACAAAGAAAGTGGTAATAACTGTACAACAGAGGGAACACAGCATAGTCTTTCATCAGATTCCTATATTAACTAATGTGAAGCTGAATCTCAAGCTGAAAAATTGCTAGATCACTAATTTACCTTAATGCAAGACGTAAGCCCTAACCGATAACATCTCTGAGACTCTACAGATGGAATTATACATGCAGAAAATGAAAGCACTAGTGTTCTCTAAAGAATTAGGCAGGAAGTAAGATTGATTTCCTTTCTAGTGCCAAGAGCACTTAAAATGTGAACCTGTGCTTGTAATGCTAACTCATAATTTTTCTTTATTTGGGTCAGTTTACTGCAATAACATCATTATAAATGTGTTATCATAAAATTGTACAGTTCAGAAGGGAGATGTGGAAACATGTATTCTCCTTTTTCAAGGCAGGGTCAATTAGAGCAGGTTGCTCTGGGCCATGTCCTGAAGGTTTTTAAGTCAGGTTTTCCCCTCCCTGGGAGGGGAAGAGAGCAAAGAAGCTGCCTCTTACCTTTCTTTTCTTTACACTGGGCTACCCAAGTGTCCTCATGTCATCATAGGTCATGTCTTCCAGCTCTTTTATCAGTGTTTTTGCCCTCCTCTGAAATGCATGCATTGTTCAAGATCTGGCCACACCAATGCTAAGTATAGCCTGAAATACTGCAGCTGGGGAGACTCACCTCCTGTACTCAGATAAAACTGTTAGAATATTGACTGAATATTGAATATTCAGTATTATATAGATCAATATATATAGATTTAGTATAGAATATTCCTGAATATTGACACTCCTCTTTTGAAAGAGGGCCTCCCTGATAACCTCTCCCTCCAGAATAATGACTGTATAAAATTACATTAAACTATAATGTGAGGAACAGATATTCTCAATGAACTAAAACTGAAATCTCTCCACATCCAAACAATCTCATTTAAAAAAAAAATGCACAGAATAATTTTGAAAGAACTCTGTGAAGCAGTGGAAGTATGTCCTGTTGGTAACTTTTTGTTTTCTGATTCTGTCTAGATTTTTGTTGATGCCTGTGTTGCTCAGACTGGGGAATGAAGATGTAATTGGCTAAGTTCTACTGCCCTGTCAGGTGTCATTTTGTCTAGTCTGGTTACGAGAACTCAGCCAGAGGGTCTTACTAAATATACCATCTGGTGGCTGTAATAGAGGGAAGGGACCCTTTGTATAATTATTTCTAGGTCTCTGTATTATGGTTTGCTTGGCAGGAGAAATACTAAAAAATCCCACAAGGCCAGTGTGTCCTCAGGCATAATGAACAAGAATTATTTTCCTGCTAGGAAAACGTACTTAGCTGAGGGGTACGTCTAAAACATTAGCAAAGATTGACTTCTAAGACAAGATGATTCAGGAAGGAAATCACACTTACTATCTGTACATGACATTATAACATGAAATTGTGTCAACATCTCTATCTAAATAACTTGATGCATTGCTTAGCCAGCAGTTTGAAAACATTGTAAGTAGAGAAATGCGGTTTTGGAATGTGCTTTTATAGGACAAATTTTAATAGGATTTTTAGCATCCATCAGATTTCTTTTGTACTGAAGTGCTACCTCTGCATTTACTTAATAAGTTAAAGTTGCATAGTGCTTTGTAAAACTTTGTGAATACATTGTGGGGTAGAAGACATCCCTGACTTTGTTCTTGAGGAGTTCATTTTCCCTTTTTTACCTTCATTTCAAGGGAAAATTTTGCCCACTTTTATTTGGAGTTATACTTGAAAAAAAAAAATATTTAAAAGCATATCTATTTATTCTTAGTCATGCTCTACCTGAAGTTAGTGAAACTTTAAAAACAACAGAATTAAGACAGTTTAAAATACCTGTTCAGCTAATTTTACACTTTGCATGTACAAGTAATATAACTGAGAGTGGTACTTTATGCTGTTACTCTTGCCATTTGTTTAATTTATTTAGTGTGCTCTCTTATAGTTTCAGTTTTTCTCTGAATTTTTAGCCAAGTATTTGTCTTATATTAAAATGCCTAATCAAGTGACATGGAAAAAGATATGACCAAGAAATGAAGAAAAATTTAAGAGTGTTAATGTCAATTACAATGGGAAACTTACTTCAAAAATTAAGTAGAATTCAAGTTCTTTTTCTTTTAAAGCTTTAAGTCAGCAGTCCTTAATTTGGACCATTATTTTTAGTAGGTCTCTTTAAAAAGTACCATTTTCATTTTACAAGTTGTAGTTGAGTTAGAGATGCATATGGCAGAGATGCTTTATATACGTTGATAATTATAGTGTATTTAAAACAAGAGGAAAGCTGTTTCTGCTTCTTGAATGCATAGAACTAAATCTGTTGGGTGCTTTTCAGTGTAATTTGCGTTAAGGCTAGAAGCTGGAGGCTACAGGCATGGAGCCAAAGGTTCAGATTCCATGCATAGGGCAATAAGGCTTTTCAGGTTTTAGAATGAATTAGGAAGAATGTGGAGGAGCATTGCCACAACTTGAGACCATTAAAAGCATGTTTGAGTATGTGGTTCATGAGCTGTTCTAACTTTATAAACTTCACCAAAACAGAACTCATCATCGCTTATTAGCGTATATATTTGGCTGAGATGTAGTAAAAGGATTTGGAGGCAGTCACCTCCTGGGTGTTGCACTTTGAATTTTTGGTTTTGAGTTGAAGTTGAAAGAATGGTATTTGTGAATCTGTGGAAACTACTGACAATAGAGCTTTACTCCTTACTTTTGCTTTTGTATTTTATTTGAAAGAGTGCTTCTTAAGGCACATCTCTTTTGGGTTGGGAATGACTAGTTTCATGGAGAAATGAGAACATGGAGAAATCAGAACTGTGTTTCTCAGAATTTTCAAATGATAGTCTTAAAATCCTTCTAGGTTTATTGTGTACACAAATGCATAACTATGTGTGCATTTAGAGGGTAAATTAAAAACAAATGTACAAACCACAGAGTCTGTATTGTTTAGAGCACCTGACATAGCATAGTTGAGATTAAGCATACGCACAATAATTCCTTGAGGAAGACTGAGCAGTTTAGGAGCCTGTGCACCTACAGTGTTTTCAGTACCTAATGCAAATGTTATTTAAAAGATGCAATGCAGTAATACCATTTAAAATACTTGTGCATAGGTCATGATAGATACTTAATATTGCAGAACCATTTTCCAGTGTTGAACAGCTAGAAATCCACAGCTTGCATCTGCTTTCAAAGGTAGTTCTATGCTGAATTTAGAAGTCATTGCTACTGCCAGTAGTCCATTTTAGTTAACATTAAGTTTAGGACACTAATAAACAAAGTCACTACTATGAGAGTTGTAATAGAGAGAAATGCTATTTCCAGTGATGGCCATGTTCAGAATTGTATAGTTTGCTATATTTGCTTATGCAGAATCTAAAGGAAATGTCTTTTTGTAAGTATCAGTTATAATTTTGTTTAACTCTGTGAAGGTTTTACTGAAACAAGGGAAAAAAGCAAAA